AGCCACTGTCCTGCCTACGGGTCAGCTGCAGGACACTCCTTCCGGTGGCCATTTGGAGAATGTGGGGGAGGAGCCTCATCGGAATCCTAAGGAAGTGGGCGGTTACTGTAGTAGCTATTATAGTGTGGAAGACCCTCGTGCAACACTCAGCAGGCCTCCCACCGCCCTCTCCTGCCTCTGCCGGGCGGCTTCAGTTGCTTCCCTCGGCTTTGTTCTTGGAGAGGCCAGGGAGGAACAGCCTGCCATTATTTTGGGAGAGTGCGCGAGGCCTGTGGATGGTTCAAAGGAAGGAAGGAGGCCGGAAGGACCTGGCCAAAGCAGAGGAGGAGGGGAGAGGCGGCAGGCAGGCTGGGAATGCGGCGTTTGGGGTCTTTGTGGTGCGGCCAGTTCAGGGGAAAACAAGCCCCCCTCCTCACCTCTGCACAAATGGCACCCTCCCCTCCCGGTGTTCATCCCAAGAGCCGACACCTGGGCTGGAATCTTGCCACTCTTGCCATCTGATGCAAATCCTACGCCTTCCAATGCCAAACACCCGGGACCACCTCGAATCGCGCCCTGAATGCTGCGCATTTCTCTGCCTCTGTAAAAGTGGAGCATGGGGGAAGCTTCCCTGACATTCCAGCCTCGGTGAGAGTCTGAGGACCCTGTCAGCCAGTCCTCTGGGTCCCTGATATATGGTGCAATTTCCCCCTCCCCCCTTTTTCTTCTTTTTTATATGTCCCTATTGTGAGCAAATAGGCGCCTTTATTTGCTGAGCAGAACAATTTTTTTAAGCCAAAAATAATAGCTTTTTTCTCAGAAACCTCAATGTCACCTATTTTTGGAGCGTGAAACGCCAGCGCTGAGGGATAGCGGTTTAATTGAATCACAGGACAGCTCACAGGAAGAGCTCGCCTGGGAATCTAAGGCCATCAAACACCTCCCCCCCCCCGCCCGCCCCCGTGTTGCAAAGAAGATTATCAAAGCAGCGTTCCCTTTCCCTTGCAGCATCCGTAGATTACCACTCTGTAATTCTGAATCCGCATTAAGGCAACACCTTTATTAGCTCAAGTCTGGGAGGCCACGTCTCTCCCGGCTTCGGTGCCCGGCCCCCCCAGAGTGCTTCTTCCCTGTTGCCCCCCCAGACGGGGCAGGCTTGGAAGATGGGGCCAAGGAGGACCCACACAAAGAGAGTGCTCTGGCTCTGGCCAATTCTCCCCTCCCTGCTTTTCCTCCTGTTTTCTGCCTGGTTTTCCCCCCTTTTGCTCCCTCGGCTCCCGATGGAGTTAAATGAAGTGAAATGTTGTGGTAGTAACTGCAGCTTTTTGTACCAATGTTTGACCTCACCGTCATTTGTATGACCAGAGTTTAAACACTGAATTATTTGAAGAAATGGCCCAAAGAAGGTGCCTTCGGCATCTCTTCCCCTTCATTCCTGCAAGAGCACCAGGGATTGCCGGTCCGAAAGCAGGCGGGGGTGGGGGCTCAAGGGCACCAGGACCCCGCCTAGCCTAAAGGAGGGGGCGATTCTGCAGGCAGCAGCCAGGCTCTGGCCTCCCCTTCTGACCCACTGCCCACCGGAGGAGGGCTGCAGGGGGAGATTTGGGCTCTCTAGAGGGCAGAAGCGCTTCGGGGCATTTGGGGAATGGAGGGAGGTTTTCCCCTTGAGGTGGGGGGGGGGAGGTCTGCGTCTTCGGACTTGCTGAGTTCTTGCCCCGAATCTTCCTCAAGTGAATGTAATTTCTGTTGGGCAAGTCTGTCTTAGTGCGGCCTCTTATTTATTTAGGACTCTTAGAGGACACATTTCCCATCCTTATTTAATTATCCCCGGGCTCTCCGAGGATTTCAATGGCAGAGGAACGGAGGCTCCTTTTAATTAAGCAGAGGCTCACGGAGCATCACGGAGCTGGAGTTAAAGAGGCAGCCCAGGCCAGAGGAGGACCTAAGAGGCGGCGGAGGGCAGGCAGAAGAAGCCGGGCCAGAGACCCTCCGCTCAGAGGCCTGGGAAGGGGCGATTGCCAACCCCTTGGGAGGGGTGGGTGCCATGGGCTCCCCAGCTCCATCATCTGCCATGGGGGCCATCAGGTGGTTCCGGAGGGGTCCAAGGAGGAAGGGGCAGCGTTCCTCCCGGGTCTCTCTCTTGCTTGTCTTCTGCTAGCTCGGAGGCCCCTTTGCAGGAAATGCCATTCCGGGGACCCGGAATGTGACTCCGCTGAGTAGAGGCAGGAGATGCACTCAGGCAGGACTGCCGCCCTGTGGGGAGCCAGGCCGGCTGTCCAGAAGAACAAAGAGGGAAAGACCCTCAACTCCGCTCTTTGGCGGGCCTGCGTGTGCGTGCACGTGTTTTGAGACCACCCGGTGGAAGAGGAGCCATGTGGCTGCCCAGGGCTGTGAGGGAGGAAAGATGTCACTTGAACCTTCTGCTACAGAAAAGGAAGCAGCCTTCGGCCATTCCAGTTCTCCCTTCTTTGTTCGCTTGATGGCAGTGCTGGATCTCTGGAAAGCTGCCTTTGAAGGGAAGCTCTGGAGGCAGGCAGATCCTCTGGGATCCACTCCCAGAGAAGACAAACCGTCAGCCAGAAAAACCCTGGGCATCCCTTGACTAAACAAACATTAATTAGATCCAAAGTTGGCAAGAGGGACCTTCCGTGGCCCTTAGCTCCCCTGAGGGCTGGGGCAGGCATCCTGGTCTCAATCAGCTTCTGTTCCTGAGATTTGGGGCGGAGGAGACCCAAGACCCTCCCCGGGTTCTTCTCCCCTTTCATCAATTCCCTCCTATTTCCCCCAGGCCCCTCTGTTCCCTTTTTTTAAAATCTTCATATAAATTTACATTAAAACGTGCTGGCAAACGGTTTGACACACTTTTTCCTCTGTTTATATTTTTCTTGCAAAACATGGGTGACTTAATGCATTTACCCTTAAAAGAAGGCTTGGCAAGGGACGTTTTGAGCTGAAAACTTGCCCAACAAGGAGGTTGAAGGACTTCCATTGGCATCTTGACATGAATGGCTCTCATTATTTCCCATCTGCGGGTTGCTTAAATCCAGAAACTTGGCCAGCTGGTTTGAGAATCTCACACACACACACACACAGACACACACAGAGAGGGAAGTGCATAAATTTATGTTAAACTATGCCAAACGTTGTAAAAGTCCTTCCCCAGACACAGAAGAAGAAGAAAGCGGTAAGAGCAGTTGCTCAGCAGCCTCTCCAGATGGTTGACGGATTTTATGCCTTGGGTTTTAAAAAGAACTCCCAAATTTCCCCATCATCCTGGCCGGTGTTTGCACTGTTAAAGGAAGAGCTTCATCCCTTCCCTGAGAAAGGGGCTTGGGACCCTCCTGCTGGCCCAGGAGCTGATCTCCAGGTAAGCCGGGGGGTGGGTGGGCTGCCACACCTGGGAAAGGTGGCTGACCAAACTCCACACATGCCTCCCTGGGACTTCCTGGTTTGCAAATGTTCCAGGTGTTTCTACAAGGATGATGGAAATGACCCAAATCTGTAGCAACTGGCTCTTTTGCTCTGAGAAAATGTTCTTTTTTTTTAAATAAAGGGTTAACATTTTTTTATTACAGCTTTATTCCTCAGTTGCATTTGGTTAACTATACCAATGCAAATATTCTGGGAAGGGTGCATAGAACCCCTAGTAAGATCCGTTTTCTCTCTTTCCAGAGCGCAGGACAGGCAGCAGGAAGGAGAAGGGGAGGAGGAGAGAATCTACCGGAAAGGGATTTTATTTTCTTTAGACATGTCAGTAACTCTGCCAAGGATGTTTACTCAGGCAATCCCGGACCATGGCTTGACTCTGCTTTCTCAGACCAGTCAGATGCAAACGTCCATCTTCCAAAGGGAGATTATCCACTTTCTACGCAACTAAAAACTAAAAGGAAGGCGTCCCATCTCACCATTTAATGCATAAAAGGGAAAAGATGGAAGACTGGATGTGGTGACAGAGGAAATGCCAACTCTCCTTGGCAAGAGTGCTCCTTCCTCCTGTCCTTTGAGGGCATCCATGCTCACCCCCAAAGGTGGGAACTAAGCGAGCAAACGGATGGCCTTCCTTCCTTCCTTCCCACAATCTGGAACCAGAGCAAAGAGGAAAGAGGGCCTGGAGCAAAATCCCAGCAGCAGATATGAGTGTTGGGTGAGGCACAACTGCTCTTTCCGAGGAAGCCCCTTCCCAGGAGCCAGAGGGGAGGTGGGGGGGACCTGCCTGTTCTTGGTGGGGAGGGGGGAGCCCCGAAGTTCCTCAGCCTGCTCTCTTCCCAGCTTCCACTGAACTTGCCCTTCCAGCCAGAGGCAGCTTCTCAGCCACCACAAGGGGGCGCAACAGTCTTGCCCCAGACGGATTGGGAGGGCAGGATCAGTCTGACTCTCTCTCTCTCTCTCTCTCTCTCACGCACACGCACACACGAGGGGGGGGGAGTCTGCTCTGTTATTTTGAGCCCCACCTGTTGAGAAGCAGCAAAGCGGCTGGGGGGGGGGGCTGCAGAAATAGATGCCGAGCGTGGGAGGCACTTTAACCCAGATCTCCAGCATCAGGACGACAAAGCCGAGCCTTTCCAGAGTGTTGGGAGGCCAGAGGGTCTCCCTGGCTGCGTCCTCACCTGCAGGTAAAGACCCCGGGTGAATCCCAGCCCTTTCTTCCCAAAGGGAGCTAATGACACTTATGGCAAACTGCCTTCGGGGCTGCCTTGTGGCCGAAGGAAGCCTGGAGCCGTTTCCCGATGCTGCCTTCACCCAGAGGGCTTGGGGGGGAAGGAGGAGGCCCGTCTCTGCAGGCTTCCTCTGGCAGCCTCTGCAGCAGACAAAAGAGGCTGCTTCAAGCCCCCCAAAGACCCCCACTTCATACAGGAAGCGTTTCCTTTCAAAAAAAAAACAGCCAGACACCCCCAGCCGTCTCAGCTGCCACAGAAATAGCCCCAGGGAGGCTCCCAGGCCAGCCGGGGTCTCTGCGATGACCCTCAGGGAGCCCCCCCCCCGCCTTAGGAGGAAGACACTCCTGCCAACGCGGGCAGAGTTTAGATCTCCCAGGCGAGTAGCAGAATCGCGGCCAGGGTGAGGCAGAGGAAGGAGCTGGTGGCAACCTGGCGGGCAGCATCCTGCTGGAAGAGGTGAAGCTTCTGGGAATCTGGATGGAAGATTCGGGCATCCTCCAAGGCGCCACGAGCCGCGAGGGTGAAGTTGCTGTCCCCCGAGGCCACCACGTCGAAAACGCACGAGTGGAAGTAGACGTCCTCCACCGGCAGCTTCTCCTTGCACAGCCGGCGGGCTTTCTCGGTGGCGATGGTGCCATGGCCGCAGCAGCCGGTGTGCCGGGAGATGCGCTGGCTGGCCGGGCATCCTCCCACGCACAGCTGCAGGTCCTGCTTCTCGGTGAAGGAGCTGGCCACCTCCTCGGCCACGCGGATGGAGAAGGACAGCTGCTTCCCTGCCCGGCGCACTGCAATGGTGGTGCCGATGTAGGCCGCCCGGATCTCCACGTGCTGCCCGGGAGCCCGTTCAAGGATGCTGAGGCTGTCCCCACCAGGCCGCTCCCCCCCGTTGACCGAGCCATCCACAAAAGCCGCCGGGAGGTTCTCTACCTCTGCCTGGAAGACCTTCTGGTCAACGCACTCCTTCATGTTCTTGAAGATGATGGTGATCTAGGAAGAGGGGAAGGTCAGCGGCAACAGAGGCTGCAGGAGGCGGCCCAGTACGGCACCCCTTCCCTGGACTCAGGGGGAGCTGCACTTGGTTGGGCGGGGGCTTCCCTCCGCCCCTCCGGTTTGTCCCAGAGGCCCCGATCCCTGGCCATCCATCCCCAGCCTTGAGGAGGTACCCCGGGGTGTGGGGTGTGTGTCTCCTATTTCAACTGAAGAATTTTCAGATTGCAGGCCTGAGCCCCGAATCCCCCCCCCCAGACCTCAGATACCCCATTCTCCCACCCTTTCCAGAACCGCCACCCGGTCACCTTGCTCATGGCCGTGGCGTCTGATCCTTTGGCCACGGGGGAGTTGGTGGCCTGGGCATACAGGTAGTGGTTGTCTAGCAGTGGCCAGGAGCCCTCCGCGCGGCAGGTGTGGAAGTCGTCCCCAAAGGTCCGGACGTGGGGGTCCCCAAAGGAAGCGCAGTGCTGGTAGGTGGGGGGCCGGCCGCGCTTGTGGGCAAAGGCCTTTTCGTAGTTGCAGAGGTCTGGGGAGCCGGCCCTGCGGGGCTGTGGGGGGCGGGGACCCGGGCTGGGCCCCTCCTTGGAGCAGTTGTGCTGGGCCATGAGGTCCTCGATGCCGTGCACGGCCAGGTGGAAGGCCAGGTCCCCGCGGCAGCTGCGGGCGGTGTGGCGGGTGCAGCGGGCGTAGGCGCGCAGGGCCAGGCAGTGGGCCGCTCTCCTGCCAGGCGCTCGCAGGGGAAGGGTGGAGGCCACATACTCCGAGTTGCAACGCAGGATCCTGCAGCGGGCTTGCACTGTGCGGGGCGAAATGCCGCTGTGGTGAGTGCCAGGCGCCCCCCCAGGAATGGCAAAGACCCCCCCACCCACCCCCACCTCCCTTCCTCTTACCGTAGCCACAGAACAGGAGGAGGAGGAAGAGGGTTTTTAGGAGGAAGCCTCTGGCCAGGAGGTGCAGGAGGGGCAGCCTGGTCGAGCAAGGCGGCCCCCCACTCCAATCCATGCGGCCTTGGAGGGAAGCCGCTCACCCTCGCGGCTCCTGGCCTCTGGAAAGACCCCGATGCCAAGGAAGCCTCCGGCACGCGGCCCTGCACCTGCCTCTCCCCAGAACCCCAGCGGTCCTTCTCTGGAAAGCGCTTTGGCCAGCCTCCTGCGTCTGGGGCTCCGGCGTCTGCCTTGGGGCTCCGGCTAAGGGCATTTGGTGGAAGGGAGAGGAAAGGAGCTGCAACCCGATCCCTCCCCCAGAGGCAGCAACCGAGGCAGAGGCTGTAAATAGGCCTTGCTATTTCAGACCCCCTAAGCAAAATGGGGGGGGGGATTTTAGGCTCAACCCTCTCGCATATTTGCACATATGCCCGATCAGTGTGAGCAGCACAGACAGGAGCAAGTGGAGGCTCTCAGGAACTCCAGCGTGTCCTTAAGTAGAGTCCCCCCGCCCCCCCGTGTGCCTTTCTAGGCATCTGAATGTCAACGCTGGATCACGTGACGAAAGGAGGGGCCAATTGTCTCCCCCAACCCACCTTTGGGGCATTGAGAGAAGGTTCAATCCAAGCAGAAGAGACCCTGGTGGGATTTAAACGTTTGAAAGAAAAAGCCTTTCTACGGAGAAGCCAGGAGGGGGCGCTCTTCTTCCCATGGCCACTGGGTGCAGGCAGGGTGTCAAATCCTCCGACGCCCGTTTTGTGTGAGCAGTGTGGAGTTTGGGGAGCCCCTTTCAGTCCATCGTCAGCCAGGGCGGTTCCTCTCCAGGCGGAAGGCTGTTCTGGAGAAGGTGGGCAGGAGGCTCGGAAGGTCGCAAGCAGCCCAGAGTTCTGGGTTGGGCATCAAAGGGCGGGTGACAAAGACCCCCCGACCCTCGACCCTCTCCTTACCCCAGAGATACAGGGCAGGAGGTTTGGCAGTGAAGCTCGTTCATAGCCACAGAGCGAAAGTTTGGGCAAAAGTTGCGAAAGCCGGCTGCAGACCCACCGGGCCCTCCACCTCCCTGGCTTTGGAGAGGAGGGGGCTGCAACAGACAAGTCAAGAGACGGGCACACCTGTTCCTCCGCGGCTGTCGTCCCTGGCTGGAGGCAGTCAAAGCCCTGGGGGGGGTGGGGGCGAGGAGAGCGGCAAAAAAAGACTGCGCAGGCGGAGCCAGGCGGAGATTCCGGCACACGGCAGCTGCCTGGTGTCTCTGGAGATCCGTCCCGGGCGGCTCCTGGGTGTTGGGTGGGAGGCGGGTCCCCACCCACAGCCTTTGATCTCCTCCTCCTCTTGGAGAGAAGCGAGGACTCTCCTCTAGGGGGCTGACGCCTGTATTCAGAGTGGGCAGGAGAAGGGTTTTTCCAGAGGTGTGTGCGCGCCCCCACACACACACAGACACAGACCCCTTGCGCTGCAATGTAGCCTCTGGGATCCCATCCGGAGGTTCCCCCCACTTGCCCCACATGCCAAGGGCAACGGCTGAGCCCCCCACTGAAGACCTGTCTATCAAGGCCGCTCCTGGGAAAACGCCCCCCTCCCCCCCCCCTCAAGAGGTCCCAGCTGTCTCAGGAGCCCCCCCCCCCCCCCCCCCCCCTCAAGAGGTCCCAGCTGTCTCAGGAGCCCCCCCCCC